TAAAACTCTGATAAATATGAACATTTCATGTGAGTTGAAACACTTGTTTAATATAGGACTGTTCATCCTTACATGCAAACGATAGTAAAAAAATGAGATTGTGTTGAACTTGTTCATTTTAAATTGACGATGAGCCACTTTAAGTTAGAGCCCAGTCTCTACAGCGACGAACACATATAACTAATCAAACGAAGAAAAAAACGATTTGTTCAGTTTATGTATTTTCTATATAATTTGCAATAAATATGCAATAAACGTGCATACCTCACCATCCCTACCAGGTGGTCCTCGATCTCCTTTATTCCCTTTAGTCCCAGATGTTCCATCACTTGAGTCACCTTTGTCCCCTTTATTCCCTCTATCACCTCTGGTCCCTGCTTTCCCAGGAGGCCCCGGTGGACCTGCTTTCTTTGTGAAGTTCTAGAGAAGAAAATTATCTTAACTTTTATTGAAGCTGTCTGTCTGTCTGTCTGTCTGTCTGTCTGTCTGTCTGTCTGTCTGTCTGTCTGTCTGTGTGTCTGTCTGTCTGTCTGTCTGTCTGTCTGTCTGTCTGTCTGTCTGTCTGTCTGTCTGTCTGTCTGTCTGTCTGTCTGTCTGTCTGTCTGTCTGTCTGTCTGTCTGTCTGTCTGTCTGTCTGTCTGTCTGTCTGTTTGTTTGTTTGTTTGTCTGTCATGATCAGCGGGATAACTAAAACGTTTTTAAAATACGAACTTAACACGAGTTAATGGCCTTAGGCTTAGGCCAAGGGCAAATTATTTAGAAGAAAAATTATTTAAAAAATTCATCTGTATCCGGCTTTGCAGAAGATTTGAATGTATCATACATTAACAATTATGCATACATTCTTGTATGCAGACATTCATAATATGCAGGTTGTATTTCAATACACCTTTCATTAATTACGTCTCATATCCCTCATGAACGAATAGTCCTTTATTTTGATTCATGGGGTCAAGGCTCCAGGTCAAGGAGTGACGTATTTATCAAAAGCGTGTCACAATTTCAATTACGAAATACAACTTTTTAAATATTAAGATTTTGTTGGCATTTCACTCGATTGAATGGAAATTATCGAATGGAAATTTATATATTTAGTCCTAAACAGGAACAGCTGCGAACAATTCAACTTTAGCCTTTAGGTCCCTGGGGGGACGAAAAATCCAACTTTAGGTCACTGGGGCGACGAAAAATGCAATTTTGGGTCGCACCTGCTCCTGGTTTAATAGGTCTAATAAATGTATATAAATTTCCGATCAGATGAAGCAAAAATACCCTAATTTGTCGTTTTTGCGTTCATGGCAAAGCGGCTTACGATATGGAGAACTACAAACAGTATTTTCCTATGTTGGTGTTGTGTACTCAGGTGAATAATATGTTTGCGATGTTACTCTGAGTGCATATCCACACCGGGCGAGCTTGACTCGAACCGTCCTGACCGCGTAGCTCTATAACAAACGTACTTGCAGGGAGGTGAGTCCGGGATTGGACGCACCGAGGGTGGCTGGAAGTTTCCCGAACTTACCGAGCGAAGCGAGGTGAGTTCGGGAAACTTCCAGCCACCCGAGGTGCGTCCAATCCCGGACTCACCGAACCTGCAAGTACGTTTGGTTTTTATCCCATGCACCGAGCCATACACACATTTGTAGCTCTTCGCGATATATTCGTCGATGTTTTGTGAACATTTTCCCGGCCAAAAAATCACTGGGCAAGAAAATTCTTCTTTATCTACGTCTACATTACCTTTACTGCATTTTTTCTTTGGTTTTTCTTCAGTCTCAGTATGTTAGTCACCGAAAAAAGTTCTTTAAAGTTTAGGTTTATCAGCTAAATCTTGTCCGCCATATTTGTTATTGTTATTGCAACGTAAGCAGTTTAGCGGGTGAGCTCGGGCGAAAAGCAGGTGAGTTCGGAAAAAAGCAGGTGAGCTCGACGACAAGCTCACCTGCTCTAAACCAATCAGAAAGCCGCTTTTAACACAGGTATGGGATAAAGTTGGAAGAGCATTGGGCTAGTATTCCAAAGGTCGTAGGTTCGAATCCCACCGTGGCCGGGCATATTTTTCAAGCTCGCCCGGTGTGGATATGCACTCAGAGTAACATCGCAAACATAGTATTTTCCTAATTAACAAAAATAATAGTAAATAGGAAGGTATACGAAAGAGGCTGCTTTTCCCTCACAAATTCAGTGTGAAAATTGGTTTAATTGCCTAGACGATCAACCGCTCATTCAAGATCTATTTACATAAAGTTTACCAGTTCATGAACTCCAAAAAAAATCTTCCCTTGTTGGGAATGATCAAATACAATGTTTCCCTCAGTCCCAGAGCTGAGATAAAGGTCAGCGCCTTTTGAAGAAATCTTCGGCTTATCTTGAAGATCTGCAGCATAAGAAATATCAACAGGAAAACATTTAGACAGCATATATTTAGAATCCTAGAAACTACCTATCGTTGATGTTGAGTCTGTCTTAGTAAAGTTTACGCCAGGTATTACTTATCAATGACAGAGAGCTGAGGAGACTCGTTAAAACCATATCTTCATAAACTCGTATTAGAAGGAGGATATCTCGGTAAGGTCTAAGGAAGACTTATAGAATATAGAGACTAGCTTTCATACATGCATTTGAAAAATTTGAAAGATGAAATATATGTACTATGGAGTATGGTTGAGCAACGTCGGTAATGGAATCAACTATATGTTGGCTGTTACGTACAGACCTGCCAATACCCGCCAGAAAGGGGTACAAAATTTAGCACTTGCATCTGCTTTAATCATTCATAATTAATTTAACTTACTGTTTTAGCTTACATGAAGTACATCAAACTCACTGCTGGGTGCAAAACGCGCAGGCTCAAAGAAAGGCGAAAGTGAAAATGAATACAACTGCGGACCTCAGTGCTGCGGACACAAATGTTGAGGGATATTCTATACAGCAAATAATGCACATAATGCAGAAAACCATTTAAAAATTAATAAAGCCTACCACGTAATTCAGAATCGCTGCGTTATAATGATACCGGAATGGACCATTTGCATTATAGACTAAATTTTGATCTCAACAAGTACTAGATAAAAATTTCATCACAGCTTGAAAGAGCATCACAAAATTAGTAATATTCCAAAGTTTCGTTGCAAAATGTTGTAAAATGCGGTCGCGGATAATATAGCCTTGCGAAGTTTGCCGTTTTTCAGTCATTTTCTATTACAAACGGGAAATTGACAGCCCCAAAGGGTATTGGGCTGTCAATTTCCCCCGCGTAATGCAAATTGACTGAAAAACGGCAAACTTCGCAAGGCTATATATATTATCCGCATTTTACAACATTTCGCAACGAAATTTTGGAATATTACTAATTTTGTGATGCTCTTTCAAGCTGTGATGAAATTTTTATCTGGACTTGTTGAGATCAAAATTTAGTCTATAATGCAAATGGTCCATTACCGTCGGCAGTAATTTTACAAATGGTCTTTCAATGACGTGAAGTCCTATACATAAAACTCTACGTTGTCTGCATATTGGCTATGTTCACACAGTAAAGATCCAATGTTTTGCCAACATTGATTCAATGTTTCAACCCATATTTTCAATCAAACAGACTGAAGTTCTGGAATTGACAGCAAATGAGACTCGGGAATGCAGAATACGAAAACTTACCTGAAAAAGTGACCGTGAGAAGAACAGAAACACTGTATAGGAAGAGTGATACGTGCATCATTGTTAAATCTAGTCCTGGACATGAAACTATGAAATAAAGCTGACAAACAGTCAAACACACAAGTATATCTGGATACAAGACGTGCGTAACTTGCGTAGACCTGTACATTCATGTTTCTCTGAATGCATATACTGTACCTGGAAACAAAGGTTAAAAGGTCAAGGTAATATAAAGAAAAATACGGAAGCAGGAAGCCCTATGAAGATTTATTACAGTCGCGCTGTACGTTAAATAGTACATAGCTAACCTAAGAATTATGAAACATTAAACAATTTACTTTCTGCAGGCCTAAATTTCGGGTTTTGTCTGAATCAAACCGGAGTACCGTTCCCTTTGTTTTACAAAAAATTAGTTTATAAGTAAATATCAAAAGGTTAATTCGTTTGGGTATAATTGCTGTATTATAGTAATGGATTTTTCCATATACTTAATAGTTAATACCATTACTACCGAGTTCTAAAATTATTTTCTATTGACTATAATTTCAGTATATCGGAAAACCTCGACATACAAAAAAAGTTTAAAAAATTGCGGGCTTTATCACAAAAAAACTCTGCACAACACAGTTACCGCGTACGTGCACGATTACATCTAGACATGCTCCAAGTCCGTCTCTCAAAGGTTGCCTCGTACGGCTATATTAGCATATTATTCTGTGAGCTATATATAACAGGGATATCTATACACGAAGTATTGCAGGCATGCTACCCTCAAAGGGGCTGTTAGGACACAGAATAAAGATCACTAACAGAAGGGCCACTCAGCGGTGCAACGTGTCCTCGTTTTTTTATGCAAAAATATGCAGTTTACTGGAAGAGGCGGAGCAGACAGCGGAGCAGAAGCGGAAGGCGGAGCAGCCAGCCAGTACGGCGTGTTTATTGGCCAGAAAATGTCATTGACTGGCTAGGAAAATGGCGGCCAACATGCGTAATGCGTCATGCGCGAGGACAGAAACTTCAAAGCTTCCGACGTAAGTGGCCCTTCTATATGGATCTTTATTCTATGGTTAGGACTTGGAACTCTTCCCAACAGTGACAACAGTCCCTTCACACTGAGCCTGCCCGATTGCATGCAATACTTCATGTAAACCCATCACACGCGCGTCGCACGTGCCGTTCGTTTTTACACGAAACGACGTTAAATAATACTCTGGAAACGACTGGGTACGACTGTACGAGGCAGTTTCAAAAGTGAAGTCGGTGGGCTCCCGCCCGTACTTTCGCGCGCCGTTTATAACTCCCAAATAAATTAACAGACTTGGAACAAGTCCTAGACTAGACTTGATTCGGGTAATATCCTCATGTTTCGCGCACTAATACATTTCTCTTTGAAACCTTGGGTTGAGCCGTGAAACCCTGGGAACGAAGATGAAGCCATTGAGCGCGTAACTTGAGATATAACTTTGATTCGTACGTGATAAAAAACTATTTTTCATGCTCATCGTCAACTAGCTACCTCCCGATGTACTGTAATAAAAATGTATTGTTTGAGATACTTTATAGCCAAAATAATGCAGTTATCAGTTTAAAAGTTTGGACGACATTTTAAGTATAGACATGTCTTGTAGTTTGGTTCCTTACAGTAAAGGCAGACCTGACATTGAACGATGCGTTGCACTAATCAGTCCATATTTTTCGGATCAGTGGGAAAAAACATGGTCTGTTTTATTCCTTATCGATCGGTTGACAATACAGTCCAATCCTGATATGTACAGATATTCGTCACAAAGTTTTCTTGTGTGGTCATGGTATAATGATATATCCTTTGTTTTCATGTACGGTTATTTACATTGGATAATTGAACATCACGTCTTGTCTGGCCAATTCCAACAACATAGGATCATCAAAGAATTTATTGATACTCACATCTTCACTTAGACCCTGCCAAAACAAAACTTATTCGAGTTTAACAAATGCATTCCTAGGTGGTGCGGACATGCAGTGCTATATTAAAGTACATTGTTGAAGGGATTTGTAGATGGAAATTTCGTGTGGAATTTGTATATATTTATTTATTTTTAATAAATGTATAAAAATTCCACTCGAGATTTCCACTTAGTCAGATGCCCAAAATCCTGGTACTATGAGTACAGCCTTTAAGAGAGCTTGCCTGTAAGAATCACAGAATGTGTGGCAGATGAAAAACTGAAAGTTCTTCAATTTCCCTCGTTTTAATATATATTGTAGACCTATCCAATCCCACACATTTACTGAAAATTCAGCCATCAAACAAAAAATGAAGGAAAGTTAGAGCACTTCAAAAATCGAACCAAAAATGACGCGAAATGTCCAAGAAATTACGCTATATAAAGCAGTCAACATCATGTGCTGTGCTGAGCGCACATTATAAGTTTTTGCTCTGCTGTTACAATATATGTCTTTAGAATATATGGAACTTTCTCGTGATATCTTTTCTCCATAAATCGAAACTTATTGACTTGGTTATTTTAGATCAAAGATGGTTGAAATTTCCGGGTTTTCCAAACTAGCCAAAGTACGTCTTGTGAATCGCCTATTTAAATATGGTCCTACTTTCTTTATAAATGTACATATGCGTAATTTGTTAGGAATAGGATTTAGTCATTCGACGACGATTTCAGATGTTTGGGATTATTTTGTGTCTTGGCGAAATTTGCAGTTAAACATGTACAATATTAGCGTCATGGGCAATTCCAGCTATAGACTAAATTTTGATTTTGGGCAAGAAAAACAAAATCCATTAGCACAGCTAGAAAGAGCATGATAAAATTAGTAAAATTACAAAGTTTGATTGCAAAATGTTGGAAAATAAGGAAAATATAGCCCTGCGAAATTTGCAAATTTTGTATTAATTTGTCCGCAATAGACCATTTGCGTAACAGACTAAATTTTGATCTAAACAAGTTTAGACAAAAATTTCATCCCAGCTTTAAAGAGCATCACAAAATTAGTGATGTTCCAAAGTTTCGTTGCGAAATGTTGTAAAATGCGGAAAATATAGCCTTGCGAAGTTTGCAATTTTCAGTCATTTTAGATTACAAACGGGAAATTGACAGCCTCGAAGGGTTTGGGGCTGTCAATTTCCCGTTTGTAATCTAAAATGACTGAAAATTGCAAATTTCGCAAGGCTATATTTTTCGCATTTTACAACATTGCGCAACGAAACTTTGGAATATAACTAATTTTGTGATGCTCTTTCAAGCTGTGATGAAATTTTTGTTGAGATCAAAATTTAGCCTATTGCGCAAGTGGTCAATTGCACCACTTTCGGCCCAAATGTGGTATACAAAATTTGCAAATTTCGTATTGCTATTATTTTCCTCATATTGCAACATTTCGCGGCCAAACTTTGCAATTTTACTAATTTTAACATGCTCTTTCTAGATGGATTCTGTTCTTCTTGCCTAGATCAAAATTTAGTCTATATGATCTATAGCTGGAATTGCCCATTGCATGAGTGGTTCGTATTAACTGGAGCGTGACACTGTGAATATTATTTCTTAAATTTTTTTCAAAACGATTCTGTGTTTCCTGTAGTCTTCACTGAGAACACACGCTTCACTCTTAAATATCGGTCATGCGTTTTTAAATTAACTCAAATTTACACTATGAAAAACACAATCATGCAGATATGCAAATGCTATACAAATATAAATAAAAACGTTGTCGTTGAATGGAAAATCAGCTGAAAAAGGTTAGAATGCAGGATGGTAAGCGTAATCGTTTCTAGAGTGCCTGCGACGAATTATGTCGTGGTCTAGCACGTAAAGAAAAAAACAGTTCCAAGATTGTTCACAAGATAAAATAATATTAATATTAATCAAATATTATTTGATTTGTAACCTACGCTGTTATAAACCCGGAAGTAACTTTCTCAACACAGTTGTAAATAAACGCACGCAGCGAGACTAATTGTCCACTGTAGTTTAATATTGCAACTGAAACTGTCTGATTATGTTACATTGGTTTGTTACAGTTCTTGAAGCATAAAGGTAAGTCCATTGTATTTTTCGTATTTCCTTATATTATCTCGATTAAGTTTTAATTTAAATTACACGGAAATATTTAACTAAGAGTCTAAGTGTTTTCCCAATCACCAAATGTAATGTAAGGCCACTCCAAATTAGACTTTAGTTTCCCGTCCGGCCCTTATTTCAAATTACACGCGGGCGGGCGGTCCATTTCCATTATCCATTAAGATGAAACACGGCCCATTATTTCATGAAATAGATACTCGTTTTAAATATCCATTCAGTCACGTTTCTACGCAATGTTTTAAAGTTTTTGTATGCAGAAATCAAAGCCAGGATATTAACCTTATCGGTTTTGACGTTCAAAAATCAAAACTTGTAACGGAAGTGTGTAGCTCAGGGCATGTACTAAAAGGCGAAACGTCGAAACGAAACGACCGAAACGAAACGGCCGAAACCATCGAAACCACCGAAACGAAACGACCGAAACGAAACGACCGAAACGACCGAAACGAAACGACCGAAACGAAACGGCCGAAACGAAACGACCGAAACGAAACGGCCGATAATATAAATTACAGGAAAAATGGAAAATATTAAAATATGAAATTTACGGGAAATTTTATTGAAATTTTAAGAGAATTGGGCTGTGGAAGCACTGGTTTTGGCGCCAAAAATTGGCGCTATTCTCACTTCTCAGTGGCGCCATTGTTCTACACCATAGACAATTCTACTGATGAAAGCAAATATGGAGACGAGGGAACTCGAGGAACAGGTACGCATTTTTAAAGTTTTAATTAATACAGTAAATATCTATCCATATATAAAACTAGTATGCATACAGACGAGAATTTGGCATATTGAAGTGCAAATACAACAGGCACAAGTTATGTTCACATGCTTTTATATCGTGCATGAAGCCATGAACACTTGTTTAACCCTTGTTTCAGGTTGTGACGTCGAACATTTCATGCACCGAACCTAATCGGCTAATGTTAATGAGCTAAGTTCTTTGTTTCACTTCATTTGCATTACAGTCTAAACCTGGCCTTCGACGTCTAAACCTGGCCTTAGACAACCTGAAACAAGGGTTAAGCCTGTTGTATTTGCACTTCAATATGCCAAATTCTCGTCTGTATGCATACTAGTTTTATATATGGATAGATATTTACTGTATTAATTAAACTTTAAATGCGTACCTGTTCCTCGAGTTCCCTCGTCTCCATATTTGCTTTCATCAGTAGAATTGTCTATGGTGTAGAACAATGGCGCCACTGAGAAGTGAGAATAGCGCCAATTTTTGGCGCCAAAACCAGTGCTTCCACAGCCCAATTCTCTTAAAATTTCAATAAAATTTCCCGTAAATTTCATATTTTAATATTTTCCATTTTTCCTGTAATTTATATTATCGGCCGTTTCGTTTCGGTCATTTCGTTTCGGCCGTTTCGTTTCGGTCGTTTCGTTTCGGTCGTTTCGTTTCGGTTGTTTCGTTTCGGTCGTTTTGTTTCGGTCGTTTCGGTGGTTTCGGCCGTTTCGTTTCGGTCGTTTCGTTTCGACGTTTCTCCTTTTAGTACATGCCGTAGCTCAGCAGTTCGGCTATTAGTAAAACACGGAGCACGGAGCACACGGAGCACGGAGCACACGGAGCACGGAGCACACGGAGCACGGAGCACACGGAGTACGGAGCACGGAGCACACGAAGTACGGAGCAGTAGAAAAACGAAAATCCTTTATAATAAAATACACTGTTTACTATTACAAATTTTTGTTATTATTACTAAGTTTTTTCGCGTATTACACGTTGGGGAAGTAGGAAAATGGGGCTTTTACTGAAAAACACATATGATGCAAAACCAGGCTGCCAAAAGCCATAGTATTTAAAATGGGATTGTGAAACTCGTTATCTTACATCTATCAAGCTT